ATATAATATATTATATATATATTATTTGTGCTGAAAAATGTCCCCATTACGCATTAAATAAGGCTATTCCTTCCTCAATTAATATATATGACTATAATGTAAGGGTATGGCTAGCTGATGAGAGCTAAATAGCTTGAAATAGATCTATACTAGTCTCCCTTTATTTATTTATCAGCACAAATAATATATATATGTATATTATTAAATATCTTTAAAATTCTTTTAATGCTATCTTATTTTGCAATATAAACTTTTTTTAGGTTCTTGATCCTCAGTATGGTATGTATGTTTGGCCTTGTGCGGTGGTTTTGGCCCAGTATATCTGGTTTCATAGAAGACTTGTCTGTGGCAAAAGAATACTAGAGGTAAATGTTGCATTATTTTCATTCAGATATGATGGAATTAGAGCCTTAAACAGGGAAGAAAAAAAGTTCAGTTGGATTAATTTGGAATGAATATTGTACATTCACCCACAAATCTTTTTTTTTCCGGAGGGAGCAGAGATTAGGATTGTAAATTAGATAAATAAAATGTGAATGGTGCAGATGAAAATCATATGTAATGATTATTCATCAATTTTAACATTCTTTTATTTACACTGAAATATATGATGCAAACAATTTACTACAGGTAATCCTTGTTTAGCATCCACAAATGGAACATGGTTAGTAAGCAAAGCAGTCACTAAGTGAAACTGCAGTTCTACTTTCCTTTGTTTTACAGATCTGTAAATTTCCTAAAAGCAAAGTTGTTATTGCTGTTGTAACAATTACTGTATGAGACAGTCACTTTATGAGGACCAGTTTCCCAGTTGCACTGGGAAATTGCATCAAATTTGTTATGAATTTGAACACTATTTTAGGCAAGCCAAAATTCTGCAAAAAGACCAGATACTTTTTGTGTTACTGAAATCTCATAGAATATATTTTAGTCATTTGTGGGTGTGTATATATAGGAAGTCGTCAATTTACATAACTGGGACCACAATTTCAGTCACTAAACAAAGCGGTTATTAAGCGAATCATTGCCTGACCAAACCTGATTTTACAATCATTTTTACGGCCATTGTTAAGCGAATCACCATAGTTAAGTGAATTATAGGGTTATTAAGAAAATATGGCTTCCTCCATTGATTTTGCTTGCCAGAAGTTGCAAACATGACCACAAGACATTGCAACTGTTATGATCTTGTGACCAACAAGATGCTGCATCCTTCATAAATGCAAGCCAGTTGCTAACAGCCCAAAATGCTTGACTATAGGCTGGGGAAGTCACTTGTTTCAACTTCTTCCCTTGGAGTGCTACAGGGCAATGTATGCCAAAACAACTATACAAGACAGGTTTTTCCCCTTATGCCATCACTTCTCTCCCTTTTATTGGTATTATTATATTACTTTGCATATAGAGTGCTTCTGTACCAGAGACAATTTTTTTTGTGTGTAATCAAACTCGGCCAAATGAAATATTCAGTTTAATTAAGCTCAACAATTGTAACTCTGAAACGGGTTTAAGCAAATGGATATTTTTGTGTATCACTGTAAGAAACAATACAGTATCCTACATATACCATACCTGTATATAAGTATACAAAACTTTTATACGTTTCAAAATAAGATCGCACTTCATTTTGTGTTCTATGATTGGAATCAAGTTGTTTTTAAGCCACTTTTCCAATCTACAATATTAATTCAAAACAAATTACTATCCAATGCAATTAAGTCACGGAAAATCAATTTCTGTTGTCCAGCTATCACTTTCTATAGTAGCAGGCAAAGTTCAAAACATGGTAATCTGAAAATATTAAAATATGCCTCAAATTTGTAATTTCTCAGATATTTTAGAACAGACCAAATATTGTGGCTGTTGATTATTTATACATGAAATTGGGAGTGTCCATCTCAACCATGGAGTTAATCCACTTAATTTCCACATTCCTCTCTGCTCAGATACCATTCATGGCTTGGATAGATTAATCTAGGTATCAAATACGAATTTGCATTTTCTATCCCGTTTTTTTTTAATAAAGCAATTTGACACTTATTCATCAGCAGGCTATTGTTTCTGGTTGCTTACATTTATTTTAGAATGCAAACCTTTTGATAAAAAGTATCAAAAACTTGGTAGTTGTTAATTCTAACAAATGAAGGTGGGTGGGGAATTTGAATATTCTATGAATGTTTTGTATCACAATGGCTGTCACAAATTAGGTTTTATTCTGTTCAGATTGGAGCAGGTGTGAGCCTACCTGGAATAGTGGCAGCAAAATGTGGAGCAGAAGTAATATTATCCGATAATGCAGAGTTCTCTGAGTGTTTGGACAACTGCCGAAGAAGCTGCCAGATGAATAATCTCTCTGGGATATGTGTCATAGGACTTACCTGGGGTCACATATCACCCTGTCTATTGACTTTAGCCCCAGTTGACATTATTTTGGGAGCTGATGTATTTTTTGAACCAGAAGGCAAGTAGTCTCTCTTAATATTCATTTTTGGAACTATTCTAAGTATGTGAATAATGGCAAAGAAAAAATTACTTTCCTCAATTTATCCCACAATAGTCCATCTGGCTTCAATACTGCAATGAGCCGAAGAGGGACCTTCAAGTGAATTATTTCAAATACTTTAATTCAACACCAAACTAGTTTCTAAAGCCATAGAAAGATGATGGGAAATGCCATTTTATTATCTCTTGACTACGCTGGAGTTAAGATGGTAAAAGTAAATAAATATCTGGCAGACATCAGGGATTAATCCCTTATTTCAATGATCAACAGTTACCGGATAATTTTTTAAAAAGTGCTTGTTTATGATGGTACTTTCAGGTCCGTTATTTTACAGATAGACTGCAAAAGCTTTGTAATTAAAAAACAGCATTGTCCCAAATATACATTTTCAAACTGACATGCATTTGAAAATCCCTTTTGAATGCACTTTTAGTTCAGGGTAATAAGTGTTAAAAGCGTTGATAAGGAAAACTAACTGCAAAGTTGACTACAATAAAATACTGTTAAGTCAGAAATCACAGGACTGAAGAAATGTAAAAGTAATGTATAATTTAATTATTTCTAATCATAGCAAAATAATTGTTAACATTTGGTTTTCTTTAAGACTTTGAAGATGTTGTAAGTACAGTGCACTTTTTAATGGAAAGGAACCCTCATGCCCAATTTTGGACTACTTACCAAGTCAGAAGGTATATAGTTACTTATTCTCCCATTGATTTTATATTTATGTACTTTGGCACTAAAACTTCATTCAAAATGTCTCAAGTTGCTCACTATTAATTTTTAAGAATGTTCAGTTTCTGAATGCTATTGGCAATCCAACCTTGTCCCAAAGCTTTTAAAATTTGCTTTTTCCCCCAGTGCCAACTGGTCTATTGAAGGATTACTACATAAATGGGAGATGAAAAGCACATATGTGCCATTGCAGTCATTTGAAGCCAACAAGGAACAACTTGCAGGATCTTCTGTTCCAGGGATGCACACTATTCAAATGATGGTTATGAGTAAAAAAAAATAAAGGACTGAAAACATAGAAACATTCCTTATGGATTTTAATGAAAATGTATCATTGCTTATTTGATAGTTTCATATTGCCTGATCACCATTGCATACAAATCAGTTTATTCTCAGCATTTTTTAAAAGTAATTTTATTCATTGTTCATGCCGACACTAATTTCTGCTGCATGTTTCCTTTGAATTAAGGATATATACACATTTCACAGGAATACCAAAAATGTGACTTGAGCCTACAATGTTTTAAAAACAATATTTGTTATCTAGGAGTTAAGTCCCATTAATTAGGACTTATAGGAATGAATTTGCTGGATGAATTTTACTTAAATTGCAAACTAGTATGATCTGTCCTAGTCTAACAGACAAAACTGACTCAAACCATCAGTTTTAAAAAAAAACCTGAACACCAAAAAAGTGTTGCTTTTATTAAACTACAGACACAGTGGTTATAATACAGAATGTTTTTAAGAGATACTCCAAATCAGTACTTAAAAGGAATGAATCAAATGGTTTAACATTACATTTTCATATGCAAGTTCACATATGTAGATGGTCTAATTTACCATTCTGGAAAAATAAGGTGTGTATATCACCGGCTAGATGTGCTCACTGTATGCTCCATTATTTTAATGCAAGGCCCGGGTGACTGGAAGTGCAGTTGTCAGGCAATTACAATTAACTGGACAGCCATTTGTTTCTGCACGACAAGGCATCTTTACAGGAGCAATCAGGAGAAAACAGGAAACAGCCAAGCACTCTGCACTGCAACACGCCACCTTAACAGCTAACCAGCATTACTCAACTGCTACACAACTGCGCCTAGTGCACAAAAATACATAAGAGAAGAGATTAGAATTTTGTCTGATAAAAACAAATCTTTCAAATTAATTTGTCAGCTGTAAAGTTTAATGTTTGACTTGAAGTATTTGCATATGTGCTTGAATTTTAAAAATTCAAAATTGGGAGAACAAAGGCAAGAATTGAACATCTGGACAGCATAAAGCTTTTCAGCATACTATAGCTGCATATTTAATATTAAACTTGAGGCTGCATGTTAATTATCAGTTTAATTTGCAAACAAGTCAGCACTATATGAACAAAAATGAAGTTTTTACCTCAAATATCCAAGCCAATAATGAAATCTGTAGTCGTTCACATCACTAAATTACAAGAAATTTGAATAATAGCAACAAAATGGCACATAAAAGTAAAAGTCTGCCATTTGAGGCTCAAAAACATAAAGTAAAAAGTTAGACAAAGTGTTACAAAATAACCTTTTCAACAGCCTGTTGCTTGTGCAGGAGTCTCTCCAAAGGACTGGCAATTCAGATGATCATTTCTCCTCCAAAAGGCATCCTTTATGTAGATTTCTCATCCATTTGCGGTATCTAAATTTGAAAAAGATAATGCTTAGAGATCCCTTGTATACATTATATTGTTCATGGATACTTTTAAATACCTACTTGTATTGATGTTTTAAATATGTTTCCAAGCAAGTGCAATATCTCCCTCCCACTATTGCATTGATACCAATATAGCCATCATGAGTTTGGAAAATTTGTCAGATCTCTTCACTAATCACACCACGTTGTTTATCAACAACCACCCCTAATCCAAATCCAACCTGTTTATTAATTATGCTTTTATCCATATTCAAAACTTTTGATGTGTTATTAGTCATTATCCTTAACATTCTAGGCCACCATTTGAAAAAACAACAGGACTAAACAATTTGAGGGAGGTTAAAGACACACTATCCATTTTCCCACCCAGCATATTCTTATAAACCCACAATTGTACCAAGCATTTCACTTCTAAAAGTGTTTGCTGCTCTTGAGAACTGTATCCATAGAACAGATTTTTAACAGGATAGTGTATCTTTAACATTTAAAGACAAACCTGCTCCAATACACGCCCACAGAAACTGGTCCCTGGAGGATCAGCCAAATCAGTTAAAATCTGCAATACTGGCCAATATTCTTTAAGCAAACAGGAGACCGCAGCTTTAAAGGGGAAAATGCAGATGTTGGATAAGAACAGTAAGAAAATAGTCAATTCAGAAATAGGTTGCGTCTCAAACAATAGATATTAAAAAGCAAGCTATTAATTGCAACAAAACATGAAGATGCCTTTTATTAGCTGTAAATTAAAACACCCTTTTCAGAAATGATCATGCCCCATTTTCTTATCCAGAATGCTTAAGGTCCCAGTGCCTACTAATTTCCTACAATAAAGCATGCAAGTTCAGGAGAAGACATGATACTTTACCGTTTTTCTTAAGATGACACAGCACCTTCCTCTTCAGGAGATTTAGGAGGGCTCTTAGAACGGGACCTCGACTTCGATTCCCTCTTCGAGATAGGTGGAGGACTTCTGGATTTGGACCTGGATCTTGAACGGGAACGAGATCTGGACACCGACGAAGACTTGGACTTCGACCTCCTGGCCGATCTGGACTTCGAAGTGGAACGAGAGCGGGACCGCGTGCGGGACCTCGATTTGGAACGGCTGTAGCGCGATCTGCTGCGAGATCGGGATCGGCTCCTGCTTCGGGATCGGCTCCGACGCCGCCTCCTGGGACTGAGTGGAAGAGAGAAAGAGACGGGCGGTTGGAAAACATCCAGGAAGTCGAACACGCTATCTCAGAGCCAACGGCTGAGAGGCCACCCGCCGCCCATTCAGGATCACGTGGCTCCCTTTCCCGCCGACCTCCCTCCCCCCTCCAACTAGTACGCTAACGAATTAGCCCGGGCCTTTTTTCTGCCTCTCCCTTATACACATATCCCATTTACTTTTCTAGTAAGACCGGCCGATAGGCCTTCCTCCCCCTCCCAATCTCACCTTCTGCTGCGGCGTCCATAACCGCCGCTTCCATACCGGCGGGGAGGGGGGCCACGGCGGCTGTGGTGCGAATCCGGAGGCCGGCCGTAACGGGCCATCTGCACCCGCAATTCGCGGCCATCGAGCACAGCTCCGTCCATGGCGTCCATTGCGTCCTCCGCGTCGCGCTTGTCGTGGAAACGCACGAAAGCGAATCCGCGACTCTCCTTGGTGTAGCGATCGCGGGGGATATAGACATCCCCCACGCGGCCGTACTTCTCGAAGACGCGGCGGAGTGTGTCCGGAGAAGTACGGTATGTCAGGTTGTCCACCTTCAGGGAGGTCATGCCTTCTACGTCTGGAGGCGGACGCCCGTAACTCATGTTGCTGGGCGCAAAAATACGGAAAAAATCGCAGCGGCCAAACTATCTCTAAAGGTTATAGAGATGGTTGCCGTGGTGGGCTCGCGTTAATACCGCTTCGCCGTCGGCGTTGCAGACCACAGCTCACTTGCAAACCACCATCTCCGACCGCTGCCACGAGCAAGTGAACGAGGTACCGCCCTTCGTCAAGTATTTAAGCGCCACAAAATGGCCGCCGATGGCCCGGAAGCAGTTCTCGATTCTACCCGCGCCCCTCCGTTGTACGCTAAGTCATTCGAATTTAAATTCGATTTTTGTTGCTCCAAAGGGAGAAGAGGATATTAAAAGGCAGTGGTGAGGGCAACTGACATCCATCCAAACAGAAAATAATTTTTTTATCGACTGCGAAAGCTCATCTGCCCCTTAGTGCGGAAACCCGGAAGCGATTGTTTAGGCTTTTCACGCGGAAGGGTGCAGAGCGTTAATTCCCATTCCAAAGAACAATTCTGGAAAAGGTATAACCGTCTTTGCTCCTTATAATTTAGTCGGTCTATCGATTTTAACAAACCGTTAAGTGTTTGGCGTCGTATACGCTTGTTAAAAGACAAGACGCTTAGTGTTTAAAATGGCGGCCAAGACTGCGAGGAAGCTGACTAATAATACGCGGGAGCGCGCACGTAACGTGCCTCGGGCGCGTGAAAAGAAGCGAGCGAAGATGGAAGCGCGAGGCCAAGGGGGGAGGGGTGGCTGAGAGGGGCGGGTGAAGGCTGCTTTCTTTGCTGTGTCTTCGCGCTGAATGAGAGCCGGGTCGGCGGAGGGAGGGGGAGGCTGTCTTTTCAAGGACGGTATTTGTCTCAACTTAGAGTAGTTAGTTGGACGCTCTTGCAGTTTAGGGCAGCGATTCTGATTGTTGAAGGAAATGAGGCGTAGGAAAATGAAACAATAACCACAGTAGTAGCAGCACTATATTGAGATTTTCAAAGCCCATTTTATCAGGCCTCCCTCTGGTCAGGGAAATTTATTTAAAATGAGTAAAAAAGGACTTTGTGTTGTAAAGTATTTTGCACTATTCCAAAGATAAGTACGGTACTATGCAATGTTTTTCGAGATATAAAAAGATAGCAAACTGACTTTTGTTTTCTAGGTGAGATACAAAACAGTTTGCTCTCATGGTGGTTTTCCATCCCCCAAAAGAATTGTTTTGTTGAGCTTTTTATTCAACAGGCTTGATGTATGAAGTATTTCTTGCCATCTTGATTTGTTTGCATAGCCTGGAAGATAGTTTCTCTTAATCTCCTGTTCTTTGCTGTGGGGCATTAGCAATATAAATGGCCTCTTTTACCCCTGGAACCAATGATCCTGTCTATCCAAAATATGAATTTTGCTGTCTTGGAAAGAGTGACTTTGTCTTTCAAATGCAGATGGGACTGCTGAATCTTGTCAAAGGTCACGACTAACAGACTACTACTGGTACAACTACATGGAATTAGAGTTAGCACACAAGCCAACTAAAGCCCTTCAAAACATCCAAAGCAAACAAAAAACCCCAGCAACCTCAGAGGAAAAAACAGGAGCCATCTACAACATACAATGTAATGACTGCAACAACTGCTATGTAGGACAAACAATAGAATAGAGTAGAATTCTTTATTGGACACACAGGGAGTTTGTCTTTGATGCATATGCTCTTTGTACATAAAAAGACAAGATACATTCGTCAAGAGTCATAAAGTACAACACTTAATGATAGTCATAGGGTACAAATAAGCAATCAGGAAACAATATCAATATAAACCGTAAGTTTACAAGCCACAAAGTTACAGTCATGCAGTCATAAGTGGGAGAAGATGGGTGATAGGAAGTATAAGAAAACTAATAGTAATAGTAATGCACCTTAGTGAATACTTTGACAGCTATGTCCAAAAATGCCAGGGAAATTCTAGAAGCCAGCCACTCTGACAAATTAGCCATCAGTAGACACATAGACATCAACAAGAGACTGCAAAAGAGATAATCAGTCAAAAAGACCCAAGCACCACCAGCAATCAGAACCTAGATCAGCATAGATTAACTCCAAGATTGACATCAGACCAGTAATCAGGAAAACAATACTCCAAACAAGAAACTACCTAAACTACCTAACTACGTTAACATTATGATCTCTGTTGTCTGCCTCTTGATTTTAACTTGCATATATAGCAACTTTATTGAAATCAGGATTGTTAAATATTGATCATTGGCTTTCCTGTATGTGAGAAGTGCAATTACTTGCTAGTTTGAGCATTTTTTAGTAATTCTCTTCTTTTTTTCCTATTAGAATATAAATCAATTATTTCCAGTCCTTTGACCACAAAATTGAGGATAGATGTTTACCGCTACACTAAAATAATGTGGGGATTAGAATTAAACTAATGTTAAAATATTTTTGCAAATATTTAGTGAATAAAGTCATTTTTTAAAGTCAGAGCAAAGTAAGATATTTGAAAATAGTATTTAATGAATTTTTCTGAGTGAATACTGGGAAGTGTTTATCTGATGAATTAATAAAACAACAAATATTACTTATTATGAACTAGAAAAGGAGAAATACATAAAAAATGAGGGACATGATTTAAAGAATGCTTTCCAGGCTGATGCATGGGTAATATTCTGCTGTCTGTAAATCTGAATCAAAGTATATTCTTCTTCAACGTTGTCACCAACATTTTTGTGGGATATATAGTTTTATTTGAACCAATGTTTCGTTCAAAAGTTGATAATGAAGTAATTTCTAATTCAGTGGGAGAGTACAGCAATAGTGTATATTATCCAAGCAACTAAACATGAAAAATGGATAATCCATAATATAGAAAGTAAATGAGGAGCCAAAAGTCTGTGTTTATTTTCTTGAAAATACCTCATACTATGTTGAATATAACTTCTTTAATACATATTTCAGAATTCTAAAAATAGTAGGAGATACCCATAATGCTGGGAAAGCTGTCTTTATTTTGATTTTAGTGTACAGCACTGATTAATAAATTTTGAATGCCAACCTAAAAATATCTTATAGGTGTTATCTTACTTACACTGTTAGTGTTAACTAACTACAGGTAGTCCTTGATCTATTTAATCTCCCATCTCACTTAAAGGTTCCCAAATGCCCAAATTACCCAAATGCACTTGTGACTATGAGTATGTATATGTGCAGTCTGGAACTAGATTGTAAGTAAGGTTTTTTTGGTGGGTGGGTGTGTCAGTGGTGGGGTTCAAAATGTTTTACTACCGGTTCTGTGGGCATGGCCTGGTGGGCATGGCATGGCACAGTGGGCATGGTAGTGGAAGGATACTGTAAAATCTCCATGTCCTCCCCACTCCAGGGGAAGGTTACTGCAAAATCCCCATTCCCTCCCAATCAGCTGGGACTCGGGAGGCAGAGAATAGATGGGGACGGGGCCAGTCAGAGGCAGTGTTTACCGGTTCTCCAAACTACTCACAATTTCCACTACCGGTTCTCCAGAACTGGTCAGAACCTGCTGAATAACCACCTCTGGTGTGTGTGTGTGGGTGTTGTAGTTTAGAATAGTTGCCAGGAATGTGTCAGGCCCTGGCCCCGTGATGGCAAACCTGTGGCACACGGAGCCATATTTGCTGGCATGGCAGCCCTCAGCTCCGGCGTGCGCCAGATGATTTTTGGCCTTCTGGAGGGCTGGAGGAGGCCGTTTTCGCCCTCCCCAGGCTTCAGGAAAGCCCCTGGACCCTAGAGAGGGTGAAAAACAGGCCAAATGACCCAACCGGCAGTTTGAGAACAAACTTCCAGTTGGTCCATTGAGCCTGTTTTTCGCCCTCTCTGGGCTCCGGAGGCTTTCCTGAAGTCTGGAAAGGATGAAAAATGGCCCAACGGGCAAACCAGAAGTTCATTTCAGGAAAGCCTCTGGAGTATGTGGAGGGCGAAAATTCCCCCCACTCCCGTGGGTCACTTGTGCATACGCAGGTGGGAGGATTGCTTGCGCATGTGCAGGTGAATGGGCACCCGCACATGTGCGATAGCGTGCACACACACAATTTTGACACACACTCATATAAAAAGATTAGTCATCACTGCCGTAGCCTAAAGATGATACAGTGAGATAAAGTCCAATACTTTATTTGCTTATATCTATTGGACAGAATCTTACTATTTAAAGCTATAGCTTTTAATCTATTATATATATTATGAGAGATTGTAGGGTGTGGATATCCTGAACTTCTCCTTTTCTCACCCATTCCAGCTCACTTGCAGTCTGTTCATCAGGGTCTCTCCGTCTTTCCTTCTCTCTCTCTTTCTCTCTCTCTTTCTCTCTCTCTTTCTCTCTCTCCCTCCCTCCCTCCCTCCCTCCTCTCTCTCACACACACACACATTTCTCCAGATACACATTCAATATTGAATCTAGAATTTGGATATGAAAAGTAGATGAGGGAAACCACAAATGCATTAATATAATTGGATTTAGTTCTCATGAGGTTTGCCCTATATACTACAATTATATATTTGTCTAGGATGTTACCTTTTTTCTTGAACTGCATTGCACATTTTGATGACTGATAGTAACATTTTGATTTGGAGGGTTACATTCATTATTACATATTTTTTGTTATTTATAATAAAGAAATTTGTTCTCATAGATACAGGTTGCAAGTGCTATCATAAATAATGAGGTTTAGAGTTCATTGAATAAAGTGGGACTTAAAAGAAGTATTAATTTGTTATATACTCCTTTCAGACAAGCTTAGGTTCAGTAACGATTCAAATCAATTCAAGGTTTTCTCCTTATCATATATCACATTATTCAGAATTAGATTTTCTCAAAATTTCCTGGCAAATGAGAAAAACAAAATGTACAGTCATTATTATCTAAAAGATATTTTGTACATGCTTACACTTATCGTTGTGTTTCTATTCTGTAGCATTGTTTAGAATGCTTTCTTTTCCTTAGTGTATAGCTCTTTGAACTGCATTTCCCAGAATTCATGAGTGCTTTTTCTTTTTTGCTCATTTGATCAGCTGACTTGATTTGTAAACTGATCTGTATTTCCTGTCTGGCATGAATGGAAATAATCTCCGTAGATGTTCCTTTTATCAGATAATTGGTGTCCAAGTCAAAATCTGATTTCATGATATAGTAGATAAATGAAGTTCTGGGACAGAATGTGGCTTCTTTGCTTCTT